GGCGCTTCCGCTGCTGCAGCCGCCAGACAGTTGCCAGCCGTGCTGTTGGATCAGTGCGGCAATGCTATCAGCCCCGTTGTCCTGGACATGCCGATTGATGCGAGGGTGCGGGCGCAGATGCTGCGGCGCCTGAGTCCCAAGCGTGAGTCACACAGTGAAAAGAAATCTCATGTGGGACGCGGGAAAAGGAGTTGGTTCCGTTGCAAATTACCGTCCCGCTTTTGTAGTTGTCTTTCGTTTGTTTGTATCCCTGCGTGTCTAATGTAGTTTTATGTACAGTACTGTATTGCATTACTATTTATGGAATGGTTGTTGCTGTACCTGGACTGACGCTCGTCACTCTGTCAACTCGCTCGTTACCTTTTCGTTTCATTCGTGTGCCGTTTTCGTAGTGGTGTGACGTGACTGACTACTTGAGTGGATTTCACATGTCCTGTAGGCAATATTCAACTGTAAATGTTTGTACCTGTATTGCTGTATATACTGTATTATTTATTCTCGAATTTAGGATCATTTATCGTTGAAGTCAGATTAATTGAAGGGTGTTGCCATGTTTATTGATCATTAGGACCTATTGGTCATACGAAATTGATGAAAACGTCTACCTTTTTTCGTCAGACTAGTGAAAAACAGCTGCTTGCATCAGTCGCAACGTTCACTTGTACTGTAGTTCAATTCATCTGTTTTGTTCAGCAGTGCATAGAAATAGCTGGCGAATATGTCGGGGATGTTTGAATACTTTGAAAAATGTTGCTAAAAATTGATCCAAATTTTCTTTATTCGTTTTCGTGTGAAGTAGCGGATAACCCGGTGAAACGTTGTTTAATTCTGCAAGGGTCAAAATTAAGTTGAATATTTTTTTTTTCACCGCGATTGGATAAGTAAATTATTTTTGCCTCGGCTTGCTGCAATTTTCTGAATAATAACGAAAGATATTTTTAATGCATTTTCCATCAGCCGTATTCATTGTTCATTAAACGACGAATTATGGAAATGCAGTATAAGGTTTTGGCTCAAACCGGAGCGCTGCAAAAAGGATAGAAAAATATAAATTTGATGTACTGTAAATTTTCAAGTGCAGTACCACAGTACTGTATATCTATATATACCAGCTGCAATAAGAAGATTTTCACATTCGAATGGGACTGAAGCCTGCTTGTCAATTTAAATTCTGCTTGCAGTACAGATTATTGCTTTTTGAAAATATCGATAAAGGAGTTTGTACTGCTTCGCCTGTACTGTCTTGTACTGTGTTCTGTATGTAAGCAGGAGGAGTCCGTGGCATTGATTTCATTATCCTTGTTGATCGAGCTTTTTCCTGCAGGTTCTGTGCCAACCTCGTCGACAACGAGCAGTATTCTGCGACACGGTAGATTCCTGAGTGACTGGACCCCGCCGTCGGCAGCATCGTCGGGCCAGTACCAGATGCGCAACAACAGCAGCTACAGCAGTAGCGGAAGCAACATGACGACGTTGACGACGTCCACAGCCACCCTGCCGACGACGGCGAATCTCACAAGTGCCTCCGTGAATCAGGGAAGCCTGTCGTCCCTGTTGAAGATGCAGGACGGGATGGGCTCGTGTCTCTTGCCGACGGTCATGATGATTCCGTCGAGTCTGTCGTCGAACCTCTTGTCGACGGCCACCACAACGACGACTATGTCAGCGACAAACGCGACTTCTGCTCTGCTTCCTGCACTAGCGCCTCAATCGGTTGTTGGAACCCCTGTGATAGACATGCTGCAGATCCCGGGCAAGGGAAAGTGTTTTGTGTACATGGCAAGGTGAGTGACGGGGGTCGGGGATTTCATTTAATTCCGTATGTCCTCAATTCCTGGTCTCTGACGCAGGTACTCTTATGATCCGTTTCTTCATTCTCCAAACGAGCATCCGGAGTCGGAACTGCCTCTCACAGCCGGCGACTACGTCCTCGTCTGGGGCCAAATGGACGAGGTAAGCAAATAAAGGGAGAGATTCCTTGTTCTTGACGTATATTTCTTTTGCGCGCCGAACCAAGCGTTGGAATGGTCATTATCGCTCACTCTCTGGGTCCCCAGTACCGGAAGCTATGAGAGGAGCGTGAGTGGGCTGAGGAAGAAGATGGATTTTCCCTTTGTTCATGTGTCGTCTTTTAAGAGCTGTTCGTTGAAGTTTAATTTTTTTAGCTTATGAATTCGCGTGCCCAGGATGGTGGTATGACAAAAAATATGGTGCCGTAAAACAGCGCCCTGTTTTTACCACTTGTATCTGACGGAGTGGCCGTTCCAGAAGTATCAGGATCAGCCGTATTCAAATATAGTACAGTATATGTACAACAGCTTTTGTATTTATCTCTTTCGAAAGCCCGACTTTCTCGACACCGTGATTTTCTGAGTCATTCTTTAAACGAAATTGCTTCAATTTAGTTATTTTTCAAGTCAAGCAAGGATATGTTGGAAGAGAGACTTTTGTTCAAAGTTTTGAAAACGACGGAGTTGGAGACGTTCCAGTGGGAGGAACCTGAGGAGGGTTTTTTGTGTGTTGAAAACCTTGATTCCAAAATTTGTGTAGAAGTACTGTAGTTGTGCAAATTTAAATGGCGATCTTATTGTTTCTTTTATTTTTTTTGCAGGATGGATTCTTCGAGGGCGAGTTGCTGGACGGGCGTCGCGGATGCGTTCCATCCAACTTTGTGGAGAAGCTAGTTGGCGAGGACCTGTTGGGTTTCCATCAGGCAGTCGTGCTGGGCCTGTCGCAAGAGTCGTCGGTGCTGTCACCGCCTGTGATGCTGATGGACGATGCGGCGCTGGAGTTGCAGCAGCGACAGCACCTTCGACGGCGGCGACGGCACTGGCAGGGCCACAGAGTGCGTCGTGCGTCGGCGGGGGACGAAGAGACGATGGGCGACGATCCCTTCATGTTTTTCCCGTCGTCCGCGTCGTCGTCGTCTTTGCCATTGCCGCCTTCGCAGCAGCAGGCACCTCCGCTGCCGGCGTCCGCGTCAGACCTGGACTACATGACGGATAGGGACGCCTCAATGATGCACAACGCGCCGCAACACAATATCCAACAAGCGGGTGGCTACGGGTTTGGTTAGTTGGAAGCGGAGTTCACGTTGATTCTATTCTTGTTCATTGAGCTAACAATGGTACTGTATATATATACAGTATTTATGTATTTTTTAATTTTCCAGAATGTGACAGATATTTTTTGAGAACTACCAATGGATATTTTTCAATTTTATTCGAGAAAAGCAGTGGAAACTTGTTTTTTATTTTTATTTTTTGCACCTCTGCATAAAATACTGCAGTTCATGGATGTACAGATTTAAAATTTGTGTCTTGTACTTCTGCTTGGATGATGTTTTTTTTCTAAATTTTGGAAATTTACACAATATTTGAGGTCACGAGAAAATAGGAGGGAACGCGTGTTGTAATTGAAACAATATCTCCATTTTAATTTTTTTCAGAGTACGGGAGCGGCTATCAAGAGTTGGAAGACATTCTGGAGGAAGAGGAAGAGGAGTACGTGACTCGGCGACCCGGACAAGGCCATGGTGAGTTGGAGGAGATGGACCTGCACGGAATTTTAAGAAAGAGTTGCAGAAAAAATGGTCGATAACATTGTTCTGCGCAGTGCCGGCACCGCGGGAATTGACGCTGGAACGACAGCTCAATAAGAGCGTGCTGATCGGATGGACGGCGCCCGACTGTCCCCCGGGCACGATCGAGTGCTACCACGTGTACGTGGATGGGAACCTGAAGACGACGGTGCGAGCGACGGACCGGACTCGGGCCCTGGTGGAGGACGTGGACAGTCTGCGGCCGCATCGGATCTCTGTGCGAGCCGTGACGCCGCATCGACGCACGTCCCGCGACGCCGCTTGCACGATGCTCATTGGCAAACACGTACCTCTGGCCCCGGGCCACGTGCGGGCCTCCAACGTGACGAGCACGTCGGCCGTCATCTCTTGGCTCCCGTCCAACTCCAACTTCCAGCACGTGGTTTGCGTCAACAGCGTGGAAGTGCGGACTCTGCGTCCCGGCATTTACCGCCACACCATCACGGGGCTCTCGCCCAACACGCTCTATCGGGTCACCGTGCGGGCCAAGAACGTGAAGGCGACGACCAGCTTGACGGGCAGTGGCGGGCCGGGAGGCGGAGGAGGAGGCGGCGGACAGAGTGCCATGATGATGATGATGATGATGACGGATGAGTCGCTGGCGGCGCATCATCCGGACAACCTATCGTCACACACCGAGTTCCGAACGTTGCCGAAAGGTCACTTAACTTTCCGTGTGCTGGAGTTTTTTGTTTGTTTTTCCTTTGGTTTTGTGACGAATTTCAATGCTCATGATGAAACAGGTCTCGTCTCGTATTGTGTTTTTCAACTTTATTTGAGCAGTCCATTGAAAGGGAACCTCTGTTTAGGACTAAGGTCAAGCAAAATTCCTTTTTCCAGTATTTTTTAATTGTATTTATTTATTTTTGTCTTGCTGCAGTGGAGCCAAAAGCTGTCGACGATTGATTGGAACTTTAAAGGCTTTTTTATTAGTTTTTTTTCGAATTGGCTCAAAACGATGATCGAATCTTTGACGTCAAAAATTGATTAGAATTTTTAAGGCGCGATAGAATATTGACGGCGTATTGAAGCAATTTTAAAGAATGCCGGGAATTTTATCGTTGACGAATGATTCATGAAGGACTATATGAAACACTTTTTCTCAACTGACTGCTAAGAACGTGTTGAAAATTTCCTCTCGCTCTTGTGCTCTTGCGACGAAACCTGCTCGAGTCAAGCTGCATTGAAATTCGCTGCGACGTTCCCTTGTTTTTTTTTTGTTCGATGTTCGCGTCGCGCTCTCCTTTTTTCGCGCGTTTGCTTTCATTTCTTCCTTGGTTTTCTGTTCTCAGTTTTGTCGAAAAGAGCTTTTATGTTGGTTTTCGTCTGCTCTCTCGGTCGGAGGGAGCCTTGGGTGTTGTGATCGTGGTATTGTGCGTCGCGCGACTCACTTGTGCTGATGGCTTTGTCTGCTTTTATTGCTGCTTGTCGGAACGGTTGCTGGTGGTCTGGATGGACGACGAACAGGCTGGAGAGGTAAGCTGTTGTTGATGGAGTCGAGGGACACTCAGGAGATTTTTATGGAATGATGAATATATATATATATATATACTGTATATATATATCTATTTATTTATTTAATTTTATTTTTTCATGCAGGCTTGCCGGACCCGCCCGTGGACATCCAGGTGGAAAGCGGGCCGCAGGACGGAACATTGCTCGTGACCTGGCTGCCTGTGACGGTCAACAACGCGGGTCGGTCCAATGGCGCGCCGGTCACGGGCTACGCCGTTTACGCGGATGGCAAGAAAGTACTGGACGTCGACAGTCCAACAGGCGAGTGTCGACTCTCCGGAAAATTAATTTATTGTACAATATCGGGGGTCGTTGAGGTTATACTGAACTGTCTCACAAAGAGAGAATACTGTATTGTATTAATTGAAAATAAGTGTAAATATGAAAGAGCCTGAATTAGTAGCGAGTTTTATTCAACCCCCTAATTTAATCCAATGTTCCCTTTACCTACCGTGATGTCAACTTTTATGTGGATTGCTGTTTGTTTTCATTGTTACACTTGCCCTCGATGTTTGCGCCGTTTTGCGAAAATTTACTTTGCTTCTGAATGAATGATGAACCTCTTGCTGTTGTGGGGATTTTCAGGTGACCATGCCCTGATCGATCTCAGCAAGATCTCCGGCTTCATGCCACGTCAAGTGACGGTGCGAACCAAGTCCACCGATGGGCAATCGGGTGACTCTGTCCCGGGTGTGATCCCGCCCAACTGCGCCCGCTTTTTCGGCACAAACACGATCGTGCCGGGAGGCAGAGTGAGTGGCAGACACTCGTTTATCGTCGCGAGAGTAGATTAATGCAGTGTCTTTGGTTGAATTGCAGTATCAGCCACAGCAGCACCAGCAACAGCTTCAAGGAATTGGCCGGATGGTGCCGAATGTAGCGGGGATGCGTAGCGGAATGATGGGCCCGTGGCGAGCTGGAGGAATGCGACAAGGCGTGCTGCTGGACGACTCGCCCGCTGGCGGGATTCCATCAATCGGTACGAAACACGTGTTCCTCTTATATGTTTTCAATATCTTACCGACTCGTTTTACTGTGATGGTGGTGTATTTTCTATATAGAAATAACGCGCGACATGGACGGTGGCGGTGGTTGGGGCTACGGCGACGATGGAAGCGGCAGAATGGGCGGCGGCGGGTATTACGGACAAGCTGGATACACGGGAGTGGACGGCGGTGGTCTGTCGGATGCGGAGAACGAGGCGCGTATGCGGGCCATGGGTCAGCAGCAGCTGCAGCGGGGTGGTCCGGGAAGGATGCAGCTGACGAGGAAGCCGTCGGCAGGTGGTATGGGTCAGCAATCAGCATCGCGCCTCTTCATCGCCACCTACGACTACGACCCGGCCACCCAGAGTCCGAACGTGGATAAGTCGGCTGAGGTGCCCTTCAACCAAGGCGACCTGATCCGAGTAAGATGCACTTCGATTGTGTCCCGCACAGAGGCAGAGCTAGAAAAAAAAAAAACTAAACGAATAAAATTTCCGTTCTTGTGTGTGCAATCGAAGAAAGAATGTTTTACTAGTTCACTTCATCGTAGTGATATGACTTGAGGTGCAATTACGTCCCGGGAGACGATTGTTGATATTTTCGTCGCGTTACTGCAGGTGTTCGGGGAGAAAGATCCGGATGGGTTCTTCTACGGGGAGGTGAACAACCAGCGCGGACTCATACCTGGCAACATGGTGAAGGAGGTGCACGTGGACGATGCGCAGACGGCGCGGGACATGATGATGATGCACAACCGTCGACCGCCGCAGCAGCAGCAGCATCCGGGCGACCGCCTCGGAGACACGTACGGGGACATGCCTGTGCGCCGAATGGTGGCAGCCTACGACTATGATCCAATCCACAGCTCGCCCAACGTCGACTCCGATGTGATTAACCTTCTCTTCAAATCTAGAGATGTCTTCATTTATGTTTGTAGTTGTGTTGCATAGAAACAGCGATCATTTGAAGGGGGATTGGAAGAAGTTTTCACATCGTTGAAAATTTTAATTTGTGCACTGGGATATTGCGTTGAATTTTCTGTGTTTGAATGTCTCTGTGTTCGAAACGAGTTTACTCTTTACTTGAGGCCTATGCCGGTTTATTCCTCTTGAAAGGCGGAGCTGGGCTTCCGGAGCGGTGACTTGATCCTCGTGTATGGTGATATGGACGATGACGGGTTCTACCTGGGCGAGCTGCGTGGTCGGCGGGGTCTAGTGCCTTCCAATTTCCTCGTTGAAGACACGTCGGTGTCGGACCCGCAGCAGCAGCAACAGCAGCAGCAGCAGTGGGGCGACCCCGCCGGCAACAATCCGAATATTATCATGAACGGGTCCATGGCACGGCCCTCGGGCCCTGGGGCTCACGGACCGCCTCCACCGCCGCGGGACGCCAGAAGTCGAGGTTTGTTTCATTTCCCACGTGTCTTCTAATACATATATTTTTAGGTAATTTTTTTGTCCTACTCTCGGTTGAATACTACTGTAGTGAAGGTTTCTGGAATTCCAGATCGAATATAGTTTTCTCCCTCTCCAAATGCACTAATGAAATAACCGAAAAAAATAACGAATGGGGGAAATAAAAGAGATGCGAGGTACAGGACGTGAATGTACGAAGTTGTGTGGAAGAATCTCGGTGCTGTATGTACGGTACATGATTCAAGGGAATTTTCCATCATTTTTTCAAGGATCAGTTGATTCTCTTCTCCGTAGAAATTAATTTTCAACAGTGCACCGCAAGTTAGAAAGAAGAAGAAAAAACCTGATGTGACCGCCCTGGCCTTATATTTTGAAACGCAATTAAGGCGAGGCGGCGCCTATTTAGTCTTAAGCTGGAGATTACCGACCCGGGACGCTTGGGGATTTTCTTAGAAAGAACTGATTTCTCTCTGGCTCGGGTTTGAACGCATCAAGATGGATACAGGCGCGAGCTTGGCTCTAGCGACGGAATTTGGCACAGTTGGAAGTTTGGTGTTCTCTGGGAAATGGGAAAGGAGGAGGAGAAGGATTTTTTGTTGTTGCACACAAGACGAGTTGGGGGTGGGATGATTTAGGTGCTGATGTTCGCACTTGACTGCGTCACTCGTGGTGCTGGTGGTGACATGACCTTGTTGAATTGCGTTTGGACGCAGATTGCGCTGTTTGACTGCCCTGTTTGACCCTGTTGCTTGTTTGTCTGTTTCTTCGTCTTTCTCTTTCTCCTCCCTTTTCTACCCTCCTTCTCTTCGTCTGCATCCTGTCTTCCTCCCACATTACCTTTCCCCACTTTTTGGCTGTGTCTTCCCGATATGATTGACGTCTGCGTCGTCGTTGCCGTCGTCGTCATCGTCGTCGTCGGAAATGCGATGGGGGTTTCATCGTGTCGTCGTCGTCGTCGTCATCGTCATCGTCCGTCATCCGTCGTCGTGATGGGTTGCCCCTTTCATCCCCGCACCTTGCCTGGCTCTTGTTTGTTCGATCGTGTGTCTTTCCCTCTTCAATTCGTGTCTTGTCGTTGTGGGTGATGCTGGTGTGGCGTGATGTTTTGTTGCGTGCCTGCTGGGGACTGACTGACTGTGACACTACCTGTCTGCCTGCGCCTGTCTGTCTGTCTGCAATCCAACCCACTTCGCTCGTGTGTCGCATGATGATGATCATAATAATGATGATTATGTGGCCTGTCCCTTGGATGACCCGAACACGTGCGTGTGATGACTCGCGCAGGTGAGCCCGGAGGCATTGGCTTCAACCGCCAGTATTCGCTCGTGGGAGAGGTGAGCGGGCATGTCTGATCCTTGCTTGAGAACGTGTGTGTGAAGGAGAATGCTGACGCTGTTTGACGTAGTTGCTTGTTTACGCTTACCTTCCGCCCACCAAAAAAAAAGGGGGGGGGGATGGGGGCGGTAAAAGACTTTTTTGTCTCTTTTCTTCTTTTTTTTTTTCTTTCTCGATGCTTCGTGCCTGTGTGTAGACGTGAGAGCCAGCACCGGGGTGGTATGTACTTGACGTCCTCGAGAGTTGAGTGAAGATCAAGAGGCGTCCGGTGGGGAGGGGTATTTCGTGTGAAGCAGTTTATCCGTAGTCATCGGTGTTTATTGGAGACTAGATTCAGGCGACAAGGAGGAGAAGGGCGACAATGGAGGAGCCGTTGTTTTCGTGGTTTTTTAGGAACTTGACGCGTAGTATACCATTACAGTATTCAGATTATTGTTATTATTGTATAGGATGCTGTAGGCGTTGAAGATGAGCAGCAGCAGCGACAACAGAATGACCTCGTTCTCCCTTTTCCGTTCCCGAAAATCGGGCGCGGATGGGATGAGGAATAGCAGCACTTTGGTTCTTTCGTTTCTCCAAAAATTAGGGGAGACTGCGAGTATTGTACTGTACTGAAAAGGAGAAAAAAATGCACCATTTTTTTCATATATTTAGGGAGTCCAAAAAATTACTGTGCAGATTTTGTTGATTGAAAGAAAGCGTAACAATTGGTCCGAACGACTGAAAAATGTTCACTTGTGTGGTTGGTTTTTATTTTGATGCTGTTGTGCATGATAACTGATGGTAAAAATGTAACATCAAAATAAAGTTCGTCCTACGAGTAACAAATACTCACGTTATTCCAGAAAATACAGTTTATTTAAAAAAAAATTTCATTGTCATGGACAGAGTAACGAAGTTTTTGACGGGCCCCTCACAGTAACTTTTTGGACAGTTCGTATGTCTGACTGCCAGTCTCGTTGGTGTTGCGTGATGCGATCTAGTGCGAGTCGTATGGGCAAACCTTGAATTCGGTCTATTGAGTGTGTGTCGTTTGGTCGACTTGTGCAGGCGGCGGCGGCGGGTCAGGCAGCACTGGGTCTGGGACAAGGGGCGGCAGCACCAACGGCGGGACTATGGGACCAGCAGCAGCATCAACACCTTCTTCCGGGGATGGGAAGCAACAACAGGACGGCTGGTAGCACCGGGGCGCCGGACCAGTCGCGGACAGCCTCTGCGCTCGGCTTTGTGTCGGGCCTGTTTGGCGGCGGTAGTGGAACAACAGGAGGCAACGGTCGGCACCCGACCATCGTGGTGTCGGATCCGTCGCCGCTCATGTCGCAGACGGGCTCGTGGTCGTCGTCGTCCCAGCAGATGCCAACAGCAACGGGCGGCGGGACCACGATGGCGTCGAGTTTCGTACAAAAGCTGGGCGAGTTTACGCATCGGACCACCGGCGGAGGGGATCCGCACATGATGCAGCAGCAGCAGCAGCACCTCAATCAACAGCAGCAGCAGCAGCAACACCACCAGCTACCGACGGCAACAAGCGCGTCAACGACGACGGGCCCGAGTGCCGTCGACTCGCTCGTGTCCAAGGGCAAGGAACTCATCTTTAAGAAGTTTGGACTCGGCAGCTGATAGGACTCCATCTTTCTTCCTAGTTCTTTTTTATATTGGGCGGTGGGAGGGATCAACAGGCGTTGTTTTCTTCTTCTTCTTCCGCTTACGTCTATCTTCTTCGCGTTCTAACTTGGCGGTGTTTCTCTGTTGTACCCTCCCACCTTGAATTTTCAAACATCGGACAGGTGTCGCATCAGTGAATGTCGGACGTACTGTATTTACGCAACTACACGATGCCCTGCAACGTGCTTGATCCTTGAAAAAAAAAAAAATGATGAATCGACGTTCGTGTCATGATCGATTGCATTTTAGATTTTGCGTACAAAATTCAGCTTTTTGAGATGCGTCAATTTAATCGATGAATTTTTCATGAATGCGTCAAGCATCTTTCCAATTCTCAGAATAATTTGAAAGCATGACGTGACAAAGATTTCATAATTTAATTTTCGAATGAAAGAAACTCTTTATTCTCTGCGTTAAGTAAAATGAAATGTTCGTTGTACTGTATTACTCCTCGAAAAAGAAAAATATTTGCGAGTAGTTAACACTACAGTAACTTCATTAGTATTTTTGTGCTATAAATACACCTTGGATTCTTTAGCAAGAGTTGGTTTTCTTTTTGGAACGAGGAAGTGAAAACATTTATGTAAATCTTGCACTTGATTGCATGTTGTATTTGCGCAAATTCAAGTCCACCCAGAACGTGATGAAGTGTAGGCGACACCTATGTGATGAAAAATGAAATCACGGATCCTGTGCAAGTACGTGCGATGGTATAACAGGAAAAAACTGCGCCTGTTTTTCTTTTCTGTTTTTGCTGCGCTCTGTGCTACTACCGTTGCCATGTTGCCCATGGCTGTTGCTGCTGTTAATGTTGAAGTTGTTGCTGTTGTTGTTATTATTATGATTGTTGCTTGCCCATCCAGTAATTCATTTATCCGTGCTTTTTACTGTACTCCGATTCTCTCTTTCTTTTTTTGCAATTGCTCGGGTTTTTTGCCAGTTGAATACAGGTTGACGGAGGGGTGGGGCGTTGATTAGTTTTGTTGCCTCTCGTCGTCGGGCTGTTCGTTTGTTGGTTCGCTTGTCTTGTCGACGAAGCTGCACAGGATGCTCGTGAGTGTTTGCGTGTGTAGGGGAGCCAATAGGAGGAGAGAATAATCGCAAGTGCCGCTGAGTGTGCGCCTCAAAACATTCCAACAGTTCGGGACCATGAGGAAAGCAAGCGAGGGTGGAAGACGAAGGATTGGGGGCGAGCAAAAAGGATGCGTACTGTAGGTCTTTCCGGGACACGCGGGGGGGGTTTTTTTTAAATGCGTAATTGCGCGAGTTGAAAATGCGCGATGCTTATGTTTTTTTTTTTTTTCTCGGCGCGTTTGTCAACACCATTCAACACTTGCAATTTTTGGGGATTTCTCAAATGTCCCGCAAGTCGTGCGCTAATCGTCTTTATCGGGGAATGAAATCGGTTGGTCCATATTCGGGAACTCGGGAGTTCTGGCAAATTGCGATTTGATCTAGAGTAAAAACGAAACAAATTTGAGTTGATATTGTCAGAAATTGCAGTACTTGAAATGCTTTTTACGTTGAAAATGGAGTTATTGTATAGTTTATGGGTGAGGATATTCCAAGTGTTTAATCTGTAATCAATTTATCGTCGGTTCATGTCCTCCTGTGTTCTCCAAGCAGGTTTAGGATGACATTTTCATTCACAAGAATTTTTTGAAATTTGTTGAAAATGGGTGGCCCGGTTTCATCTGCCTTTGAAAAAGCGGTCTGTACATGTTTTGCTGGGTTTTCTAGAAAGAAAGGAAAAAAAAAACCCGCTTAATACACGTTCATATACAAACACAGGCACAGACACCATTTTTTTTTCTTTCTTTCTGGGTTGTCTCTGGTTGGTGCTGATGATGTGTGCGTCACACATTTGTGGCTCGCACACACATATACACTCACATATTGAGGAAGGACGGATTGCCGAGATTCGAAAGATGTCGCTGGGCGACGGGGTGGAGTGGCACATGTGGTCTTGGGGGAAGAAGAAGAAGGTGAAAATGACGGTGAGGAGTTTCCAAGTATTGTCGTTTTGAGGGGGGATAATATTAAAAGGAGAGGAAAAAACAGTGCTGTGATGGGGGTGGAGTCATATCCTTGCTGCCGGGCTTGTAACGTATTGACGATGTTTGCACTCATTGCTGGGATATATTCATCGTGTCCCTTCTGCTGGTCGGGCCTTGTTCGTACTTTCTTTTGTACGCGTTCTCGTTGGTTCTTCTACTACATATATTGTCGCCACTGCCATCGTCTTGTTCTTGATTTATTGTCTCCTCGCTGTTGCTGAGTGACTGACTGACTGAGCTTGTGTCTGCATCATCATCATCATACGGTGTCTCATTCTTTCTCTCTCTCTCTCTCACTTTTTTCTTCTCTTGGCGGGAAAAGTTGAATACTGTACTGACGAGCAACAAAGAAAGTGTGTGTTGGTATGTGTGTGTCTTTAGCGTGGATCGAATTATGGGGAGGCGGAGGCTTGATTTATCTTCCCTCGGGTGTCGTGGTGTAAAATAGAGTCAGACTGTTCCGTAGCCGCAGCAAGTGTAGCAGCAGCAGCAGGTCCCCTGAAGAAAAAGAAGGGTGGTGATGGTCTTGGGTGGGTGGTTTTGTTGGTTGCTTCGCACCCTTGTGCTTTCGTGGCTGGTTGCTGCTTGAGGCGGCGTGTGCTGTAGGAGGAAACATGGAATCCATTCCATACTAGTGAAATGATGGTGGGCCTCCCCGCTTTTTCGTCTTTCCACGGTATCTTTTTTCCTCTTTTATTTTTTTTCCTTTTGCGCTGCACACATTGGCTAACATCGCAGGCGGCACGCACGCACGCACGTGTATAGGACGGTGACATGCAGGAGCTGAGTTAGAAATGCTGCCTTTGGAGGGTTCCAGTCTGGGGAGGGAAATGGGGTAATGTCGGGGTTGGTGAGCACGTCTCTGTGATGTGGACGGACCTTGGAGTCGAAGGATATTGTCCGCCATGTTTTCCAGAAACGCATCCATGTGGTGGTGGTGGTGGTGCTTGCACTGTCTTCTCGCTTGATTTATTACTTGCATTTTGGAGAATTCCGTTTTGAATTTACGCTGCTTATGGATTAAGCAAGCAGTTTAGATTAGAGTCTCAGAATATTCTTTTGTTATTTTTGTTGAAAAGTTGGTTTCTCGATGCTCACTGCTCAAAAAGCCTGTTGGCCAACACTTGTTTCGTCTTCACTGGAAAGAAGAAAAGTTCAATGGTCTGACATTTGTATCCCATTGCTTTCCGCTAGACAAGAGAAAACCTTCACGTGTGGATAAATCTTCCATGGGAGGTTTTTGTGTGCGAAAATTTCCTCAATTTTTCGTTATTGTTGGGCAAATTAATTTCTTCGCGGCACAAAAAATTCTGTTGGACTTACTAAAAGGCGTGTGTCATTTAGCAAATGGTCGCTCTCTTACCCCCCCCCCCCTCCCCCCATAGAAAAGGTACACAAATGCGAATGGCGGAAAAAATGTCCTGGCATTATCCAAAGTTCCGAGATGGACAAAAATTGTTTTCGAAAATATGTTTTCTATGTTGGCCTCATAGCAACATTTTTAAAAGCATGATGCAAATTTCATTGTACAATTTTTAAATGCTGACGAATCCGTTTCATTCCTACTTTTTCTTTTGTCATGAGGGACCTTTTGTCTTTATTGCACGGAAAATCCCAATTTTGAGCCAACAGGCAACAAGCAGAAGAACAGCCCCTTGAGATGCGTTTTTGGCAAATGTGTGGATAATTTCTCAACTCTTGCCGAAATGATGATTGAATTCGTGGTGGGTTGCGCACGATTGCCTCGCCTCGTGTCTCGTCGCCTTGTCTCTTATTGGCTCGCCGCAGATTCCCTTCCATCCCCCCCCCCCCTCCGTTTCCTTTCCATCCATAAACGAAGAAAAGAAAAACTGCTCATGTTCGTTTGTTATTCGTGCTGGTGCTCATTGATTCGATTACAGGCATTGATGGATTGATTGTATCGTGAGCTGCATTATCACCAGTGTTCATGTCGGCCATTGGGACGGGAGAGAAGAGCGCAAAAAAAGGATGAAATCCCGATTCGTGGTTGATTTTTTTTTTCCTTTCTTGCTTTCATTTTGCTCCATCGTTTCTCGTTCGTTTTCCCTCGATCGATCGCCCGTCTGAGTCTCTTTAATTTTGTTGTTGATGATGAAGACGTTGTCGTCGATGAGACAGGTTGGGAATCTGCTTGTTTGTCCACACGCACAGTCAACTCTAATCCATTGGCTGGGTTATTCATTCGTTTGTTCGTTGATTGATTGATGGGTTGGTTGGTTGATTGATTGATTGATTGTGTGCGCTGCCGGGTTGAACACATTTGTTGCGATCGTTATTTGCTGCGGATTGATTAACGGTGGAGGAGAGGAGGAGGAAATGCAAAATTTAATTCCCATCTTAACTCCGAACTTGTTCCTCACTGCCGGTTTGTTTCTTGTCTGGTCCTGCGATGTGCACGCATGTTGACGACTCGATTTTTCACGAAAACTGTATACTGAGTGGATGGGCCCATTGCTGGGCTCTGGACAATAAGAGGACGCACAAAACAGTTTCCATGTAAAATTTGGTGTTTTCAAAGTTTGAGACTCGTGTGAGATCGGGAAAAAATCGTTGAGGTAAAGTACAGTACGTGTAATGTAATGACTCTTAAACAATACTGTACAGTTGTATCGTATTTTGTTGGAACTTGAGGGCTTCGTAGATAATGATGAACCCGACCAAAGTATTCCTGCCCGAAAAATGCAAATGAATTGTTCTTCGACCGACTAATGTAAGTTTGTAATGATGGATTCCGCTGCCAGAAAGGTGTTCGAATACTTGCCTCTTTTTTTCATCGGGGATACCGGGAATCAAGCGGACTTATTCCGCGTTGTGGACATCAAGCGAACCGCTCGTGCAAGTGATGCTACAGTTACCACGGTAATCTATCTGGAAAATATGTAACGGGGAACCATTACAATACAGTACTGTGCTCTGAAAGCAGCACGCTGAAGGCAGACTTTGATCAGCAGTGTCCCCTTCCCATGATTAATTTTACTCTTAGGGATGAAGAGTCAACAGGGAACAGAAGATGTCGCTCACCTCTCGAAGAAACCGTTTTACCGCACACGTTTATAGAAATGTGCCAACTATCCGGATATATTGTTCTATACGAGATTCAAATTTTGCAGCGATCGGCTTGAGCCAGGGATAAAATTGGTCCCTTGATCCAGTTTCAGACGTAAAGTACTGTGTGCCGTCAACCCCTGGCACACAATCAACTTAATTTGTGCAGTTGATCGTGTGAAAATGCGATCATTAAAATGGTTACCTTTTAATCATTAGTTTTAAACCAACAGAATTCATTTATGCAGATCTAGTCCATTGCGCACGAGGGAAAACTACCTCCAAACAGAGGTGGTCTGTTGTGCAGGAGGTCTGTTATTGTGCAGGGGCCAACTATATTTGGACTCTTTGCCAACTACAAAGGACTTGCATAAAAGAATAGGTGAAAAGAAACACTGTACTGTATTCGGAAAATGAAAATTTAAAACGTATTTACAATGCAGGTACTGAGGTACAGCAGTATATGGAAATGTGATGCGAAAGCAGCAATAACATGTGCAGCATATTATTATAAGAAAATAATGCAGACCA